TCCCTGTTCAGAGTTCCCCACCAAGCAGTGATGTAATCGAAACAAATCCGTACTCAATTTTTATCACAGCAACCGATGAACAAGAAGTAAAAGAAACATTACTCAAATTTAAAAGTAAACTTTCTACAGACTGTGACGATATCGACATGGCACTTGTAAAATTAGTCATCCATAATATTGTTAAACCTCTGACGTACATTTGTAATCTATCCTTCCAGTCTGGTTGTTTTCCGAACAAAATGAAAGTTGCTAAAGTTATACCAGTATTTAAGAGTGGGAACAGCCATAGCTTTACAAACTACAGACCAATTTCCCTGCTGCCACAGTTCTCAAAAGTTTTAGAAAAAATATTTGCTGCTCGGTTGGAAAAGTTTGTTGAATGAGAGTCAATATGGATTCAGAGCGAAAAGAACCACCAGCATGGCCTTAACTGAGGCAGTTGAAGAGATAACAAATGCAATAGAACACAAATTACATGCAATTGGAATTTTTATAGACCTGAGAAAAGCTTTCGATACCCTTAACCACTCAATATTGTTGGTAAAGCTTCAGAAATATGGTGTCAGGGGTGTAGCGGGGAACTGGCTAAAAGATTATCTCACAGAAAGAGCACAGTTTGTTCAAATGGAAAATTATGTCTCTGAAAGTCTTGGCATTGCGTGTGGTGTCCCCCAGGGGTCAGTGTTGGGACCTATGTTGTTTAACCTGTATATTAATGATATTTTCAATGTGTCAAAGTCTTTAAAACTAATTCTTTTTGCAGATGACACTAACATTTTCTACAGTAGTTCGGACTCATCAGAATTAATCAACACTGTAAATATTGAGCTAAATAAACTTAAAAAATGGATGGACACAAATAAATTGTCATTAAACGTAAATAAAGCAAAAGTAATGACATTTGGTTACACGAAAGCATGTCCAAATTTAAAAATTTTCATTGATGGAGCCGAAATTGAAAATGTTACTGAAAACCAATTCCTGGGGGTAGTTATGGACAACAGCTTATCATGGAAAGCTCATATAAGTCATATAAAGACCAAAATAGCAAAAAATCTCTCAATTATAAATAAGGCTAAACACTACCTTGATACTCACACACTACGCTCGTTATATTGTTCATTGGTTCTACCCTATCTGACATACTGTGTCGAAGTGTGGGGGAACAATTACCATTGTACAATAAAACCTTTATTATTATTGCAAAAACGAGCTGTGCGAATCATTCACAAAGCAAGCTACCTACAACACACTCATGAACTTTTTACCCAATCTAAATTATTGAAGTTTCCAGACCTTGTTAAGCTCTACACATCAATTGTGCTATTTAAAGCATTTAACGAATTGCTACCATGTAAAATACAACAATACTTTATTCTTAATGAAAAAACATATAATCTAAGAGGTCTTGGAAACTTCAAACTTCCAAAATTCCGATCGACTCGTAAAAGTTTCTGTGTGACTGTATGTGGCGTGAAATTGTGGAATGTTCTTGATCTCCAACTAAAACAATGCCAAGACATTCATAGATTTAAATCACTGTACAAAAACAATGTTTGGTCTGACTATAGAGGGAATATGCCTTGAATATATCTTCATGTTGCCATGTATGTATGTTTCTTGTATGTTTGTAATTGCCCCTGTTGTTGTTTCTTTATCATTGCTGTATCCTTACCATTGTTGGTATCGTCTGTTCCTTACCATTGTTGGTATTGTCTGTTCCTTACCATTGTTGGTATCGTCTGTTCCTTACCACTGTTGGTATTTTCTGTTCCTTACCATTGTTGGTACTTTCTGTTCCTTACCATTGTTGGTATCGTCTGTTCCTTACCACTGTTGGTATTTTCTGTTCCTTACCATTGTTGGTACTTTCTGTTCCTTACCATTGTTGGTATTTGCTGTCCCTATGTACCATATTGATATTTACTGTCTTTACCATTGCTGGTATTTTCCTTATGCATTTGTTTTGCATCCTTGTAATACGTATCTTGTGTGTATATGTCCTTAAACCCATTAATTGCTACTTAAAAAACCTGAACAGTTGATTCAAATGTGCCATTTGATTTGTTTTTGTACTTGAGCAAATGGGAAGCTCAATGAATAATGTTTTGTTTTGTTTTTTTCTTTAAGGCACCAGGGGTGGGATTAAATAAGTTTTCTTCTTCCCACTCCTTTTCGAGTATCTGTAAGTGTTTCTTTTGTGTATATAATATTCATAATTTTGTATAATGTAGATATAGCTCAGGGTTATTTATACACAACTTTGATATTCTACTTTTGTTTTTCTGTACACATATTTACTCGAAATAAACAAACTTTGAATTGAATTGAATTGAATTGAGATAGGACCTAAAAACTTCCCATGACCACTTCCATAGATTTCTTCAAGCTAGCAGGTTAGCACAGTATATGGTCCATGATTGAACCCTAACACACGTTGTACTTTGAAGTATTTGCTCTTTCAAAGCTGCTCTGCTAAATTTGGAGCTTTTTCCATTAGGCCTGCCTCATTTGAAGTAAAGTTTTGACACAACATCTGGTGCAGGGTCTGTTTGCTGGTAATTGGGGAGATGTGCACATTACAGTTGCTGATACTAATTAGCTTTGTTTGACTCTCGTCGACAGATAGACCCACTGTCGGTTTGAGAGTGGTTTTTATTTCTCAATTCTCGGCAAAACAGACAGTTGATGGAGATATTTGAGAGATTCATCGTGGCATTTACACTGGCTTTATTGTTGCAAAGGAGGCCAATATTCCAAGAAACACAAATGAATCACAGGGACTACTAGTACATCCAGACTCCCCAGAAAAAACCTTCAATGGTTTATAAAAGGTTAAAATAAGTTAAATCCACTGTACATATTTATACATTTCTGCTTTATTTCACATTCTAAAATATTAAACTGGGGTGCATGACTTTAATATCTAATACATTTTACATATAGTACCTACAAGAGTTTTGTAAAAGTATAATGTTGTGAACAAATCAAACTATTTTCTCGTTATCTTCATATAAAAGGCTTAAGAAAGAGCCCTGTGTGAGTCACTTTTTGACGCTTTGGGCTGAGACTTGATGGAGGCTGAGGGAGGGTCGTTGTCTCTTTTTCAGTTTTCTGTCTGAAAAAATATGATCTAAAGCTGTGACAAAAAATACATACATTAGTTTTAAGTAAGTAAGTAAGTTGAGATTATTTGTATAGCGCCTTACACAGACCAGGAAGTTCTTCACAATCAGAAACATACAAAGAGCCAGAAACAATAGGAACATGGTTTGCATAAGTCAGTTAAATTTTTTGTAGCTTGATAGTTATGTACCCTAGCTTTACTTTCCAATATAAATGCTCTCAATACTTATTTGATTAAAGACGCCTGGTTTGGCCGTTTGTCCGCGCTGACTTTGCGATGGGGTTAACTGAGCAGAGATGGTTTTACGAAGTGTGCGAGACTAGTTTCAGAGCTCTTCCTGCTGCATCTCCATCTTCTCCATCTGAGCTCCTGCTGTCACCTTCACAGCCGTCGCACATTCGGGTCTCGCCTCCGTGTTTATAAAGACGGTTTTAAGGGTTCTACCACTTCATTTTTTTTATTTTTGAATGCACTGGAAACGGCTGCAAGTCCTAATTAGCTCTGGAACAGTTGTTGTTTTGTGTTTTACAGTTGTTATTTGTCTTTCTTTTTTGCTGCAGTACAGTGTTCATGGAACACTGGTACAGTGTTCATGCACTGGTCCAGACCAGAGCAGAGAGGATTCATGGTCCGAAAAACAAGCAGATCAGGCGAAAATCCACTGGAGGAATGCTAACTTTTTGAAAAATGCTGACAAAGCATTCAGCATTTTACTATGGACTAAAAAGTGGTCAATAAAGTATCTTTATATCTATCTATCCATCTAAACTGATGAAAATATGTCCCACACAAAAGTTCAAAGTCAGTGGATGATACATGTTGCTTCCAAGAGCTAGCATTTTAATTCCTGTATGCAGTCTGGGCAATGCTAACCCAAAAGATCTATTATTGATAATAACTAATAAAACACTAATCAGGTGCTTTGTGCTTTCTGCCCTTAAATTTGTATTTTTCCTCGATAAGGAGGCACTGCTTTCTATTGTCTACGTTAGCGGCAAGACGGCCGCACTATTCATCAAGGTTGTTACGAGTGATACCAGTCGTTGTAAAGCGCTTTGTGACTCTGGTTTGTGAAAGGCGCTATATATAAAAACTTCTTTACTTAGCAGCCTATAAAAATCTAATACATCAGTTGTCAACCAATCAGGGGTGTCAAACCGGTTTCAGAACGGGCCGGTGTGGCTGCAGGATATCATTCCAACTAAGCTGGACCAGACCCAACTCCACCCATTCCCTCAAGTCTCCAGGTTTATGGGTAGAGTGGCTTCTATGGGTGTGCTCCTACTTAGTTAGAATGAAATCCTGCAGCCACACCGACCCTTTGAGGACCATTTTTTCATCTCTGATCTAGAAAAGAGTGAATACCCAGACATTTTAATAAGTGTGAGTCAGACTCCCGCATAGACTTATATGTAATTTACGTCAATATTCATCCAGGCGTTCTGCCACCAAAACTTGGCCTCGATCACTCCCAGTGTGGCACATGGTTAGCTAGCTGGCTACGTCCACTCCATAAGACAGGAAGTCAATGGACCAGCTTCAATTATTAAGCCGTTTTAGTTACAATATCATTAATCACAGCAGATATTAAATAATCTACTACCACAAATATATCTTAATACATCTATCTATCATCTATGTAGCCCACACTATGTATCTATGCTAGCAACAATGTAAGTAGCTATCGTTTTAGCCATATTTAATCGACTCGAAAATTGCCTGTTAGAAGTAAGACATGCACTAAGAAGCCACCGTTCTCATTTATCACCAATTAAGCTCCGCAGCTATGCACGACTTCTTAAAGGCTTATTAAAAAGCCGCCATAAACGCTGGCCGTGGCACATTCAGGGGTTTACAGAGGTCCGGGAGCGAGATGGAGGGCCAGGGTCAACTCTGAGAAAAGGTTTAATATTTAATCATGTGTAACACTACCCCCCAAACCCCAGAGTCCCAAAAGGGGAAAAAGGAAGGAACAAGCAGAGAAAGAAAGGGGCAAGAGCCGGTGTTTTGTCCGATTTTGATCTTGATGTAGTATAGTTTTTGAGTCCTTTCTTGGCGATGAAGGAAGGACAGTGATGACCCAGGACATTTATTAACATTTATGGACAGCGGTCATCCTGCTCCCTATGGACCAATGGCTCCTGTGAATTCTTAGATCTGTTCTTGGTGAATCGACAACAAGGCTAAACCAAAAATGTATTGAATTAATATAAACTTATGCATGTTGTTGGGTTTCATACGGCTATTTCCTTTTGTGTGACAGTGGTGTGTGTGTGAATGGTCGGGGGTGGACGGAGGGGCCAATGGCACAGACTGGTTACCTCGCTTCTGTCAGTGTGCCCCAGGGCAGCTGTGGCTACAGTAGTAGTTTATCATTACTGTGTACGGAGTGAATGAATAATGACATGTGAGGCGTCTTTGAGTGTTCAAAAAAGCGCTTTATAAAACCGATACAATTTTTTAAAAATATTTGTAATATGATGTTTATTATGTCCACGATTGAAATAAATAAATAAATGGGGAATTAAATTAGCAATATGTTAGATTTTCATGTGAAGTTATCATTAAATGGCCCTTATCTGTCAAAAGGCGTTAATAATAATAAACCATCCTCTTTTGTAATACTTCTTTAACTAATAACAGTCGTTCAACCGAGATATTTGGATTTCAAAATGAGTTTTACAGCCCTTAAATCTTGTTATTGTTTTCATTCTGATGTCCTGCCCTCCACCGTTTCACCAAACAGAAAGTCTGTGATCCGGGTTGCCAGAAATCACTGTATCAAGCTAATGTCACTGGTAAAGTAACATGTGGCCGCAGAACTAAAAAGGTCTCGTTATGATTCTGAAATCATTAATTACAAAACAAGGAATAAAACAAGGATTTCTATTGGGTCTTTGTGAAAAAGGTGTTGGTTATAGTTTTATTGTTGACAAAACTCTTGTCTACTCAGATATTATTGTCCCAGCCGGATTCATCTGCATATCTGGCAACCTGAATCTGGCCAGATTTTTACATACTGCTCCTTTAATTATCCTATTCCTGCTCCTTTCTATATAGTTATTTAATAGAGAGTTTAAAGCTGTGTTCATTCATCTTATCCTGTTGTGTGCTCCTCATTCCTGCTGTTCTGTAACTGCTGATGCAACACTGACATTTCTCCACTGTGGGACAAATAGAGAATCTCTTAATTTTAATCTTAAACTTAAGTTATTTTGAGCTTGGTTTCATTTCTCGGGTTTTACTTCCTGTCCCGTTCCTCTGTCTTGATTGTCTGCCCCGCCCTGAAGTCTTTGTCTCTCTGTGTCTATATGTACCTGTGCTGCTCTCCCTTTGTCCTGTTCTGTCCTAGCCTGGCCTTATCCGTACACTCCGCTCAATAATCATTTCCCTGCATGTAACGTCTGGGTCTGGTCCATGTGCTTGCTATTACATCGGTAGAATTCCATCCGACCAATCAGCGAGCGCGGGAGACGGGTGTTGTCGTTAGTTGTGGGTGACGTCAAGAGTCACCAAACGGACTGGTTGTAGTTTGGCCATGGCGAAGAATGCGATAGTAAAGTAATCCGGTCTGGTTTTATCAAGACATTGTAGCCAGAGCAAGAGGAATGTTTAGCAAAAGTCATTGCTGGCAAAGATTGTGGTGCTACTCCCCACGGGCTTCGTTAGCGGCAAAGGAGATGGCTAGGCTAAATGCTAACGACAGACTCGGGCATATTACAAACATCACGATAAACTCAGATCCAATCATTTCCATCTGTAAAAGGAGTTAACCCCTCCCACCTGTAAACGGAGCTCAATGGAGCACCTCCAGACTTTAGTACGAAATGTCATTTATACTATGGTGTGGTACGACCAGGCTAGTTCTGTCCTGTTCCTTTGGATTTTTAGAGTTTGTGTTTTCCCTGGATTATTAGTTAGTATCATTAAATCATCATTTCATGGAAGAGGCCTGTCTCACACTTTCCTGTCCCTGTGCTCCACAGAGTCCAGGGCGGTTCAATGTTTATAAATGCACAATGTCTCTGTCAAAAAAAACTGATAAACTAAGATAAACAGGAAATGCAATGATATAAAAAAAAAACACATAAAGCCATTGTTCCATAAAGGGCATCTCCCTAAATTTGAAGTAATGTCATTAGTCTGCTATTGTTTAAAAGTAAATATTTCCAAATATGACTCAATAAATGTAGGCGCTGTAGCTGTAAAATGCATTTAAAATCTCCAAACGGAAACCCGTGCTGCGTCTCCAAACGTGTGAAGGACCCATTGTTTTGTTTGTTCACTAAACGCTGACCTACTTTGGTAGAAATTATTGGAGCAAATTACAGTGTAGCAGAATGTCACGAGGAAACGTGAAACCATTCATGCAAATGTGTTAACTCATTCTGGCGATTATCAAAAATGCTATTTTAATTGTGGTTTTGTCCTGGTTTAGTTTGGACTCGTGTGACCTGGTTTCTTCTAATTATCTGGATGCAAGAACACTATTGTACTGACACTAAATGTTATTAAAAGTCTGTTACTTTTCATATGGTAAAGATGGAAAGACGTTTATTAAATGCAAGAACCTGTTAGACCCGCCCCCACCGGCTCCTGATTGGCCGCAATTAATTCAAATCTCTGACAGACCACTGAGGCCGCTCCCCATTGGTTCTAACTATTCTCCTCCAACTAATTTTGAAATATATTTATTTTGGAAAATACTTAATACAGATAATAATACAGGGTCACATCGTTGTAAATATGTATTCATTCATAATTTTTTTCTATTTGCAGTTTAATTGAAATGTGAGTTCTACTTCTAACTCCCAGGGCAGACATTTTGACTGCTCCTTTTATTTTGACGTAAAACTCAGATTCAGCCTCTTTTTGTCGCTTGTACCCAACATTCTGTAGCAGTCAATTATCTGTAAAAGTCCTGGTTCTGCTCTTGTTTTGGACTTGTCCTGGTTCAGCTTGGTTTTCCCACCAGACCGGAGCCAGTGCTAGTTACCATAGCAACACACTGTTTACCTGCAGCAGTTAGCATTAGCATTTCACCCAACTGTTTCTTCTACTTATGAATTTGCCTCATCCGACTCCTTTTCGATCCAGATAGTTATTTGTATGTTATATTGATATATTTAGAAATACAGAAAAGAATCAATATTATTTTATGGAGCACTTTAAAAATAACACATTTGACCAAGTCTAAAAAAAACACTGAGTAAAAAGCCAAAGTATAAAAAAGTCTTAAGAAATGACTTAAAAACAGGAAATGAGTCTCCCAGATAAATAAAAGAAACAAAATACAAAAAATACATAAAATAAATAGAATAAATAAAATAACAATAATAATGGCTTACTGACTAAATGACTTTTAATAAAACTAGCTTTTTATTTTTTTTGACTGTCAGAATCCCATTGATGTGAATGGGAATCATCAAAGTGACTGCTGTGGGAGTCCTGGTGATAACATTGGTTCTGTATAACACTCACAGAGCTCCGTGCCTCCCCCCTCCCCCTTCGCCCCTCTATGTGTGGGGTTTTTACATGACTGTGCAGATCTGAGCTGGTGGAACATGTGAGCGAGAAGGGGGGAGGGCGAGAGAGCCGAGAGGAGCCCAGCCGCGGTTACATAAGTCTGGGTAACACGGCTTGGCGGCGCGGCCTCTCTGGAGCTGGTGCTGATGGAGTCTTTCACACGACGCCCGGGTGTTGATTGGGAAGCGATGCGGGACTTTGACTACCGGGTGTTGGAGGAAAGATATAAGAGAGAGATGCTTTAGAGGAGACACAAAAGAAATGCAGGTGAAAGTAGGCTGCGAAAGACCAAGACAGGTTTTTTTTTTTATAGCGCAATTCAAGGTTTTACAAAAGAAGAAATATCTAAAATCATATACACACAAATATTATGTTATAACCTGTTGCCTGAAACGTATTGTGGCTTAAGGTCTATTGAGACACGCCATAAATAACACAGTAAATGTTTTTTGTATTTTATCACCCCTCACCAAAGAGAAACTCCTCTCCTGGCTTCCATTATTATCTGAAGTTTATCTAAAGACAACAAAAGGACAAGAAGAAAATGTGTATTACAGATTTATCTATAGACGTAAACATACTAGTATCAATTCATTAGCCGTGTAGAGAATAACCTTCAATCTTGTCTCCTGTGGGAAAATATGGCAGCGAGATTCTCCTTTAGACATTTGAGCAAAAGTCAATATATTTTAGAAAGTTTTTATTTTGATTTGACTACATTTGGATGCTCTTGAAATATATATATTTTTCATTAAAGCATGTGAAGTTTTATGTGTTGGGGACCGCTGTAGTGGAGTTTATCCCTTATATGTCTCTACTCTTCGTGCCTTGTTTCTCTATTTAAACAATTTTTTTTTACAATTTTTACGTTGTTTTGTTGTTTTAAGTTAAGAATTGTGCTATAATCAATATCCACCATGTGTCGTGTGCTCCTCATTCCTACTGCTCTGAGTAAGTGAAGAGCGTGGATGGGAACGGGACAGCCTTGCTCCTGATTGGCTCTTTCGTTGCTATGGGGTTGCTATGAGTTCTCCTGGTTCTCCCCAAATTCCCATCCTTGGAGCTTGTATGCTTCTTTTATCAAACGTTTTCTGAAATGATGTCAAAATCAGCTAGTTATTACACCATAAGCAGAAATCAATGATCGAGGTTGAGGTAAACTGTCTGGGCGATGTGGCAGATGCTGATTTATGTTTAGATGATGAATAAAACCAGGTGAACCCTCGCTTGTGTCTCTTGTGCCGTGTAATAACAACCATAAAACCATCCCAGGCATCATTTGTCATGTATTCACTTTATTCATGTCTCAGAGCAGCTCAAATTGCTTTATTCTGGTAAAGCTAAATGATATGGGTGATGTCACATTCAGTCCAGTCTGCTCCTGTATAAGTCTGTGTAAATGACTGGTCGTTTTTCTACAACATTACTCTCCTCAGAGTCTCAGCAGGAGGCCAGTCCCTGTGTTCCCCAGAGTCCCAGTAGAAGGCCAGTCCCTGTGTTCTTCAGAGTCCCAGCAGGAGGCCAGTCCCTGTGTTCTTCAGAGTCCCAGCAGGAGGCCAGTCCCTGTGCTCCTCAGAGTCCCAGTAGAAGTCCAGTCCCTGTGTTCCCCAGAGTCCCAGTAGAAGGCCAGTCCCTGTGTTCCTCAGAGTCCCAGCAGGAATCCAGTCCCTGTGTTCATCAGAGTCCCAGCAGGAGGGCAGTCCCTGTGCTCCTCAGAGTCCCAGCAGGAGGCCAGTCCCTGTGCTCCTCAGAGTCCCAGCAGGAGGCCAGTCCCTGTGTTCCCCAGAGTCCCAGTATAGAAGGCCAGTCCCTGTGTTCCCCAGAGTCCCAGTATAGAAGGCCAGTCCCTGTGTTCCCCAGAGTCCCAGTAGAAGGCCAGTCCCTGTGTTCTTCAGAGTCCCAGCAGGAGGCCAGTCCCTGTGTTCTTCAGAGTCCCAGCAGGAGGCCAGTCCCTGTGTTCTTCAGAGTCCCAGCAGGAGGCCAGTCCCTGTGTTCTTCAGAGTCCCAGCAGGAGGCCAGTCCCTGTGTTCTTCAGAGTCCCAGCAGGAATCCAGTCCCTGTGTTCCTCAGAGTCACAGCAGGAATCCAGTCCCTGTGTTCCTCAGAGTCCCAGCAGTAGGCCAGTCCCTGTGTTCTTCAGAGTCCCAGCAGTAGGCCAGTCCCTGTTTTCTTCAGAGTCCCAGCAGGAGGCCAGTCCCTGTGCTCCTCAGAGTCCCAGCAGGAATCCAGTCCCTGTGCTCCTCAGAGTCCCAGTAGAAGTCCAGTCCCTGTGTTCCCCAGAGTCCCAGCAGGAATCCAGTCCCTGTGTTCCTCAGAGTCCCAGCAGGAGGCCAGTCCCTGTGCTCCTCAGAGTCCCAGCAGAAGGCCAGTCCCAGTTAGGTCATATCGCCCTAACACAGATGTACTCTGGTTTGAGGCCATGGAGAGACTCGTAAACACATTTATAGAGTCCAGTGATCAGATCGTCCCTTTGCTCTCACCGGTGACAAACCTTAAAACTGTGCCTCTCTGTGTTGTGTTCAGGTGCTGTGCGAGCCTCCAGTATCTTCCCCATCCTCAGTGTGATCCTGCTCTTCATGGGGGGGCTCTGTATAGCTGCCAGTGAGTTCTACAAGTCACGCCACAACATCATCCTCAGCGCGGGCATCTTCTTCGTCTCCGCGGGTGAGTAACCTACAGTCTACGGTCACACACGAACAGACCCAAATCAACACAATCCTGCTTCTCCTTTCAAACTTCCTTTTAAGACCTATGTGTAGCTCTTTGTGTAGGTCTTTCCCGGGCTTGTTTATCTCCATCAGTAAATAGTTTGTCGAGTTAGCTGCCTGAAAGTGTTAGGGTTAGGGTTGGGGTTTGAAAAATAATCTTGTTACATATATAGTAATAATATAGGGAACTTCAAAAATAGCCAGTGTTCCAACCGTAGACTGTACATTTTAACGGACGTAGTGACGGCTATCTCGCCCGTTGAAACTAATGTGCCATCACTTTTGGCGTCAATGGTGCACAGGATCTTTCTGAGTAGAGTTTGCATGTTCTCCCCGTGCCTGCATAGGTTTCCTCCGGGTGCTAAAAACTAAAAACTACTAAAAACATGCACATTATAGTAAATCCTCCAGCTCCGGTAGTCCTGACCAAGCCGAGCATCAACATCTGGAGATGGGTTCCCGGGCGCTGTTACTACGGTGACCCCTGCTTCTGATGTAAGTCTTAGTCTGGCATCAGGATGGGTCAAATGCAGAGGAGGGATTGCCCTACGGGGATTAATAAAGTGCACCTTTACCTTTATAGTTCTTAAAACTGTTTGGTTCTATCTCTCTGTATTTTTGGCCTCTGTCATATCAGTTTTTACAGTCAGAAAAAGACTGTAAAGGAAAACATATGACCAAAAAGCACCAAAATAAACAGCAACATTACATACTATATTTGAAATGCTTTGGCAGAATTATTCGGGGGAGTCCTGGACGAAATTTCACAATACACTTGAAATAAACTAAAGAATATGCATCACAAAACATCCTTTATTCGTCCCTCAGTGGGGAAATTTCAGTGTTGCATCACCAGTTATAGATCAGTAGGAATGAGGAGTACACAACATACATAACTGAACAATCACTCTGTAATAAAGTAAAATACAATCTCTAATCTTAGCATAATAAAAAGCGAGAATTAAGTATAAAATCTCTGACTTTAGCCTCACAAAAAAGCAATAAATAAGTTTTTTACGAAGCATTTAATCACTCATTTACAAGCATTGTCCGTTAACTTTCTGAGTGTGGTGTCTTCTTCTCTTCAGCGGTTCTGCAGCTCGTATCTTGATCCCGTTACAAGGCTCAAATGCACCCACTGGGATCCTCTCTAAAAATACGCTGTCCCTGACACAGATACCCACTTTCCCAGTCGCTGCCTCTCAAGTGCAGCATAACTAAACCAACAAGTTATCACATGTGTCCACGAAGAATTAGAAGGTGTAATTCATACTCTACTCCGGGACTTGGACTAAATGATGAGGCTGGAAGCTCGAGTGATGAAGTGGCTTTTGTCTGGTTTATACATGATCTTTTGCTATTTGGAATATTCAGAATATCAATATTTATCTAAGCCGTCAGAATTAACCCTCATGCAAAACCATCTTGTATTATTCATGGCTTAATTCTGTGGTCTGTTGTCTCCAAATACCAATTCAATTTATTTTGTATAGCCCTACATCTCCACTGCAGTCGTCTTGGAGGATCAGAAAATCAAACACAAGAAATGCAATAATATCGAAAACACAGAAGCCATTGGTCCATAAAGGACAAATGAGCAATGATCCAGGTCTAATTGTTGTCTCCTGCATGTGAAAACCAGATCGCGTCAAACCTGTGAAGCTAAGCAGGGCAGGGCCTGGTTAGTACTGTGATGGGGGACCTATGGGATAACCAGGTGCCAAAGTGGGGTGGCTGTGGGTGTGGCTGTAAAGTGCCAAACTGTTGTTGTGTTCTTAGGTAAGACACTTCACCCCCACATTAGAATGAGTCTGGTGTGTGTGTTCTCTCCTGGAAGTGAATCCAGGTTTTGTCCTCTGTCTCTCTTTGTTCCATGCATTAAACATATTCATTCACACTCATAACCTGCACTGCTGTTGCCACTTCACAACTTCATCTTCTACTTGTGAGAATAAGGTCTTTGCTGTGCTATTGTTGAACTAAAGAGCTGGAGGTGCAATCCTGGGGCCACATTCTGACACAAAGAAGCAACGTATGTGTGTGTACGTCCGCGTGTGTGTGTTTGTGTTTATGTGTGTGTGTGTTGTTGCTTCTGTCAGTCAATCCTAGGGCAGCTGTTGCGACAATAGCAGTTTACCACCTCCATAAATAGACAATGACTAATGCAATGTAAATTACCTTTGAGTTTAGGGTGAATTATTATCATTATTAAAAGGCAATTATCACAAAATTATATTGAATCTTTTCAGGTTAGGTCCTCATTCAGTTTGAGTTTAGTCCTAGTTTGGTCTTAGTTTTTAGTGTGCGTGGCTTTGCAAAGACTTTTCTAAGTCTATGCAGGTTGACCCATTTCTGTGGTATAGGTCAAGTCGTCATTTTCTTTGTGTGACTGCACTGCTGAGTTTTATGGGGCAGCCGTGGTGCAGTGGAATCGTTGTTCAAGTCTCCACGAAACACAGGACTCTATGTTCCAGGGCTCAATGAGATCTTTCACCTACTTACACCTACTTACACATAGTCCATTAATTAATATACTATACATATGGATTTTGAAGACCATACATTGTCTGCAAGCTAAAAATACTTTTCACACAGTGGGGCGAATAAAGGTTTTCTTATCGTTTTTATGTATAATCATCTCTATAATCTTATTCAAAAGGCAGTGTTGGAATTGTATTTTTCCTTGGTCTGCAGGAAATATTAACATAATCAAGAGGCTTTCATAAGAAAAGTTAAAATTTCCACTCTAAATAAACAAGAAAAAATGCAAATGAAGGATAGAATTCAGTTGCAAAACCATATCGAGTTTGTGCCAAAATACCTAGTGTGCAAAGTAGACAAGTAGAAAGTAGAAAGACTAAAGACATTGAAGAAACTGTGAAAGAAGATTTTTAAACAAACACAGATACTAAATAATACTCTAGGGTGGGAGATGCTTCACTACCAGAGATGTCCTGCACCTCAAGGATCGATACTCCTCCTGAGGGAAGAAGCTGGAATCTGATATCACCAAGTAACCAACAGTCCAGGATCAATGTTTCGTTGGGTTTGGGATAGAGTCGGTTTCTTGGGTTCATGGTTAAGAATATGATGTAGGTTATGAGTCCAGGATCATCCAGCCAAAGAAAATTCCAACTTCCTATTACTTACAATGGCAACAAAAATAATTCTGATTCTGATACAGATCTTGTAACAGTGAGGGACTGGTAAATATTTGGTGATGTCAGATTGGGCAAGCTAGAACATGGGCTTTTCCAGAAGAGTCAATGATTATTCAATTCAATCTATTTTTATAATGACCCTTGAAGAAGATGACAAAGTCTGGGGGCGTGTCTTTCATTCAGACAGAAGACATGTTTTATTGTCAATGGTAGAGACAGCATGAAGAACACAAACAAAGGATGTTACGACAGCAAGTTGTAATATACTCAGGAGAAACAGAGACCTCCAATCAGCAGGTGCCACGGTGTGCTTGTAGCTTGGCCTTCAGATCAAAACAACAAGTAGTGGAAAAGTACAGGCTTCTGCACATTGTTAGAATGATGAGTTTAACTTTAACAAAAGTTACTTCAAAGTGTTATGAAATCTCACACCCTAAATCACAACTGGAGAACCAAAAAGCAAACCTTCAATGGTGCAGCGAGTTTGTGGTGGATTCTCTTAAGTTTCAGCAGAAAAAAAGAGACGCTGACAAGCTTTCCTAACAATGTGATTTGTTTTTTTCCCCTTATCAAATCATTTGAAGCTCAACCAGAAACTTCCACTGTCTATACAATACAATACAATACAATTTATTCTTGTATAGCCCTAAATCACAACAGTAGTCATCTTAAAGAAAAAAGTGAGAAACCACAGGGAGACCCACATTGAGAGAGGGATCCACTCCACACCGACGGACGGGCTATAGATCCAGGACTCAGACTGTAGAACGAGGACTGAGGCTGTAGATCCAGGACCTAAGCTACAGAACGTGGATCAGGGTCACGCAGCGGCCTCAGAACGACGATGGGCACTTGGGAGTTTTTAATGTTTGTGTTGATCGATTTCCTAGCCGATGCCAGAGGGTCTAAGAACAGTGGTGGCGATCCAGGACCCTCGACATTCAACAACATTTATGGACATTGGTCATCTGCCCCTGATGGACCAATGACTCTATGTGTTTAATATCATTGCATCATTTCATAATGTCATAATTTCTTGTGTATGAACTGTTTGATTCTCTGATCTGTGTTGGAGAATTCAATGATTTTGTAAAGTCCTCTGATGATACTGTTGTGATTAAGGGCTATATACGAGAATGAATTGAATTGATGACAAGACTTAGTAGAGACTTATTCTATACTAACTAACGTTGCCGGTCTCTGTCTTGTGTCCCAGGCCTCAGCAACATCATCGGGATCATCGTGTACATATCAGCCAACGCGGGGGACCCCTCCAAGAGCGACTCCAAGAAGAACAGCTACAGTTACGGCTGGTCCTTCTACTTCGGGGCGCTGTCCTTCATCATGGCAGAGATGGTGGGGGTCCTGGCCGTGCACATGTTCATCGATCGGCACCGGCAGCTCCGGATAGGGGCCCGAGCCGCAGACTACCTCCAGGGCTCAGCCATCACACGCATCCCCAGCTACCGCTACCGCTACAGGTTCGAACCCACACTCCTACCGCGCTACACGATCAGACTCAGTTTAACTTTACCCACAATCAGCAAAGACCACTCCTGTGTGACCACATCGTGACACTGCATACTGGAGATTAGACCATGCCATGTTAGAGTTAGATCTAAATCTTGCCTCTGTCTCTCAACAGTGGACCAGAAGATTTTTTTTCCCCATGGTTAATGATTTTTGGTCTTTTTTATGCTGAAGTTAGAGATCTTACATTTGCTTCCTTATTATGCTAAAGCTAGAGATTTCATGGCTGTGTTTGTAGCCGTTGATTTGAACGTTTGTAGAAAGAAAAAAAACTAAGCAAAGTTCTAGACCACCCTCTGGTGGTAGCATAGGGAGTTGCAGACCGATAGCATTGTTTAGCCTCAATACTATCCGCTATATGGGGTGGGAGTTTATACTTTTGGGTTCTTCCCACTCTTAATTGACCCTTGATATGTAAATGCTGCAAATTACATTAAACAATTCCTGTTTAAAAACTTGAAATAAAGAAATCACATTTAAAAGATAAAATAAAAAAAATGCTTGTTTCACCATTTGTTTAACTTAAGATATTATTATAAGTGACATGTGCAGTTCTCCATTGTGATCAATCAAGTTTTATCTTATCTTTTATCTAAATGACAAATTAAATTGTGGCGTTATCATTATTATTGGCCCAAATTAATGAATAAAATGTCTTCTTTAGTGGCACTAGAAAGGATCACAATATCTATTCTTTAACCTCCCTTGTCGCCCTTGTCTCTTTGTGTTATTCCACTGTGGTTTTACTTCAAACGACAAACAAACTGACTCTTAATGTGTTGCAGACGCCGGTCTCGGTCCTCGTCGCGCTCCACGGACCCCTCTCACTCGCGGGACGCCTCCCCGGTGGGGCTCAAAGGCTTCAGCGCGCTCCCCTCCACCGAGATCTCCATGTACACGCTGCCCCGCGACACCCTCAAGTCCTCCGGCACGCCCACCGCCACCTACAACTCCGAGCGGGACCACGCCAACTTCCTGCAGGTCCACAACTGCATCACGAAAGATCTCAAAGACTCCAGCCATAGCAACACAGCCAACCGCCGCACCACGCCTGTATGAAAGCAAAGGGTTGCGAGAAAAAACGAAAAGATATATTATGTATAGCCCAAGGAGACAACCATGCAACGGAAACCCCTGTGGACCCGCCCATAGGAGAGAAGACAACGCAACTGTTGGATTTTCATGTTTATAAAAATAGACATTTATCGTTCTCTTTTTCGTTTCTGCTGCATGACCTTTCCATTTTCCATTGTCGAGAGAAGCTTCGAGAAGTTGGGACTAAGGAATGCGTTATCGCCAGGTCTTCTATATAAAAAAATCGAATGGTGTTTTTCCCATTGCGATGAAAAAGGGGCTACGGGTTATCGGGTGTAGGGAGAGTTTCACGTTTTCATATAGCGCTGTTTTCATTTGGCGTTTTGTTGGCCCGAGAATTTAGGGTCGGAGCCTTACTTCAAGCTCCAAATATAGCCACAAATTATTTATTGTTATTATAATTATTATGATTATTATTATTGATTTTTTGCATTAAAACTGTGAATTGTTACAGCTGGGTATTCAATAAGAATTCGCCCTAACTGTAATCTCGAACAAAGGTACTATATATATGTATTACTTTTATAAATAAATTATAATTAATCAAGAGATACAGACGCAAAAAAACGACAAAAAAATCTACAAAAAAAATACAAGTTAATTAAAACTGTTGGTAACAAGCTAAATGACTTTTAGTATTGATTTTGAAGGTTGCAACGCGGTGGCGGGAAAGCAGGCAGCAGTAGAAATAATATATATTCTTTTAAAATCGAAAAAATACTTTTTCTTCAATCCTCGTTCGCTTTCTTTCCGGAAACTTGTTTTTTTTTTTTTTTTTTTTGCCGACGACGACAGTGACAAAAAAAAAAAAAAAAAGAAGAAAAATGACAAAAAGTCGCAAAATTTTTTTTGACGGTAAAAAGGACTTCCAGCGACTTTTTGAACCAATCCGCAGAAAGGAAGAGGAGAGAAGGAAGAGAATCGGAAAATCCAAAAAACACAACATGAAATAGTTACCAAGCTAAGTGACTCAATGATTTCAGAAATTTAATGCATGCTAGAAAATTTACCGCAGCTCTGCTCTTGAGAAACTTAAGTTAATAATTATTAAGGGGAAAAAAAGCAAAGACGCAAACGTATTAATGTTTCCATGTGTAACTTTAATATAGTTTTTTATGACTATGATTATTTATTGGTTAATTTATTGCTTTTGTGAAAGGAACAAAAAACCAAACACTGAACAAAACTGCTTTTTTTAAAACGGTTTGGTTGGATTTCTTTATAAATATATATGTATGTGCTTTTATTTTCAAAGGGAAAGAACTCACACAGCCTTAGTCATTTCTTTGTTTTTTTGATTTTTAAATGTGTTGTTCAAATTTGAAATATGAAATCTTTAAAGGTGCCAAAACCGAATGATCCTATACTTGGATGCATCAAGTCCTGATGAATAAAATACCAACCCTAGGGGGAACAAATCACCACGTTTCTCTGTGTGTCCCTTATTTTTGACTTTTTATTCTCTTGCAAAAGGTTGTTAAGTTTTGTTTTCTCACAGCAAGAAATTCAAAAAATGCTGGTTCATATTATTGTTCCATTCCAGCTCGCAAACACATATTATCTGGAATTGATTATAACCTTTGACTTTATAGAAGAACTATAATGCATTACTTTTGTCAATTCATATTCATAATGAGATCTAATTTGTCATTTCATGTTTTGGAATATTAAATAACATATTAATAGAAAATATATATTGAAACAAGTAGAAAGGGTAAACACTGCTACCAGCCTGTAACTCCCTATGCTACCACCAGATGGAGCTGTTTTTTTTTCCAAATTTTAAAATTGATTCTAAAGAATGTCTTTTACATAGCCCAAACTAATTTATGGGCAATACTTTTCAAAGATGCAGTCAGTGATTGCCGTTAGTGAAGTCAGTGATTTTTTTCCAGATGCATTTTTTTGAATAATGTGAAAAAACGTCCCTAAAACCTAAAATATTTTCTAAAACCTAAAATGGCTGAACAGAAAAGGCCAATTTCACGTTTGCCACCCACTCTCCCTGTTGTGACAAAGAAAAGAAAATGCTGGATGTTTGGTTTGGTGGAGGGGAGGGGGGAGTCGTTTCCAGTTGATGCTACGGCTAGGCTAACAAAATCGCTAACTGCATCTTTAACTTTTTAATACGGTTTAAAAAGACATCAAACTGATCTGCTTTTAGTTTTGGATGTGTATTTACTCTACGCCTTCACAATGTAACTTTTTCTGTTTCTTTATGTATTTTACTTCTTTGTAAATATTATGAAATTAACATTTTTTTTCTTTTAAATGGTGTAGAGAGGACAAGAGCCATGGCAACATACTGTTAACTTGCTACCGCGCCAGTAACCATAGCAACACAATGTTAACTTGCTACCAGCTAGCATTAGCCTGTATTATTCTGTGTTACAAGTTTCACACATATTAAAAGTGAGTAAAGGTAAATTTGATTAAGGCTGATGGTAAACTCACTTTTCAGAATTCCATTGATATGAATGCAAGCAGACAAAGTAAGGGCTGTAGTTTCTAAATTCTGGGTTCCTAGTGTCAGAGGGAGCATACTGCCTCCTATTGGGCGGGTGAACTATGCAAAGCTTGGATCTTGGAACACACACAGACTACAATTGTGGCAAAGAAGCAACAAAACTATTGAGGGATGGAGCCTTTTATCTCTCTGTTTAAAACGGTTACAGGAGCTCCAGAACAAGATCACAGCGGTGTGGCAACATACAGTAAAAAACGAAATGCTAAATTTGACTTTAGCACATTCATAAACATAAGCGCTGAGTTGTCAGACATTAAATCCTCCGTGGCGTGTTAAAACCTGGAGCTGTAAAATGCACAGTAATCAAGGGCTGGAGCTCAGGCAGTACACAGGACGTCTATAAACTACTGATTTTTAGGCCTGTGTTTCCTCTTTGCTTCAGAACAGGCTGTCTGTCCATGGATCATCGCAACAAAAGCCCTGTTTCCACCAGCCCTGCATATCCCTTCCCAACTCTACACAACTCTACTCTACTCGGCACTACTCCACCTGGTTGTGTTTCCATTACCTATGCTAGCAACCACCAGCCCTACATGGCCCTACCCGACTCTACTCTACTTTACTCTAGTCTACTCTACCTGGTTGTGTTTCCATTACCTATGCCACCAGCCCTACATGGCCCAACTCTACTCTACTCGGCCCTACACTACCTGGTTATGTTTCCATTACCTGTGCTAGCAACCACCGGCCCTACATGGCTTTACCCGACTCTACTCTACTCAGCTCTACTCTACCTGGTAGTGTTTCCATTTCCTGTGCTCGCAACCACCAGCCCTACATGGCCCTACCCAACTCTACTCTACTCTACTCTACTCTACCTGGTTATGTTTCCATTACCTCTGCTAGCTACCACCAGCCCAACATGACCCCACCCCGACTCCACTCTTACCCTACTCTATCTGGTTGTGTTTCCATTACTCATGCTAGGAACCCACCCACAACAAACCAGTATCGGGAGAACTTCCAGCAGCACTTTGACCAATCTCTCTCGAACACTTTAGTACTAGTGTCGAAAATGACAGAGATTGGACAAGACATTTCTGCAAGCCTTTGTTTTAGTTTCTATTTTTTCAGAAACAATTCAATGTATTCAATGTAACACAAACACAAATGAGATAATAGAAAACACATAGAGTTAAGGGAGACAGATAACCAAATGTTATCTAACTAAATATTGTTGAACGGAAATAGACAAACTATAAAGACGCAGACAAAGAATGTATTGGAATGATATTTATGAAGTTATGTTTGATTGAATAATAACGGTTAGTGAATGAATCAACCGGGCCGATGTAAGGTACTAAAATGTTGGATATGGCTTGGCGCTTATGAGAAGAAATGTTGCATGACGTACAGTAGGATCTGTTTGTAAAGTCCTCCGAGGCGACTGCTGTTGTGATTTAGGGCTATACACAACTGAAGCTGAAGTGATGAGCCAATAATATTAAGAGCCGTATTTCTACTGTAGATGCCGAAACAGGGAGGAGGAGGGTTGCTGCAGAAGCCGAAGCTATATTGTTGGATGGCAGGAGGGAGCTTTTCCGGTCTTCCCATTAGACTTTTTTCGTTTTATCGCCATGTTTTGAGTAAAAATCTTTCACATCCAAAAAGTCCAAAATGGTGAGTATGACACAAACTGAGCTAACTGAGCTTGAGGAGTTTACTTTTCAATGTAAAAAGATAGGAGCCAGAGCGATTTTGGAGCCAAACCATGAGCACTTCTCTCTTCTCTAGCGTATTGACATTAGCCATCTATACAATAGTAGCAGTGAATGAGAAGTGAAAGTTTATTCGAACATAGAATAATTACTACTTTATAGCAGAAGTAGTGGTTTAGAATTGAATTTTGCTAAATGAAACTATCAACAATTCCAAGCCCTCTCACTCAAGAAAGAAACACAACCGCAACACACGCATACAAAACTCTCTGACCACACACCCTCCCATCTACTGGCGCCGCATTTAAGTCACTCCTCCACATACTTGCATATACAGTCTATGCTTGGAATGAACTATGAAATTACTACTTTCCAGCAGTTAAAGCTGAGTTGAGGGTCCAACAGAGAGAGGGCGAGGGTCTAATAAAGCGCTACGTGCCTTTGATAGCTCCTGTCTCGGTCTCACGGCCCGCACAAAACTGCTCTTGTTGCAAATCGTTGAAGTTTGAAGCCAGCTTGAGTGAAGAAAAAGTGCTTTGCCAGACCTTGCCCTTGAGGAGTCCTTGTCTTTAGCGCGCTGTGGTTTTTTTGGCTCGCTCTCTCTTTTGGACCTGCTTCAGAAACAGCCGAAAGGATCAGAGCCATACTAATGAACCGGAGCGATATGGAGAGCTCCGACGTCTGCGCGAAAGAAGAAAGACAAAAGGCCCCCGAAACACTGGCTCCGCTCCAGTTCAGCCACACATTCAACGACGCGGATTGAATTTTGAACGGACTAAATGTAGTGTCCTTAAAGGTTCGGAACACAGGCTGATTGAGTTTGGGTTTTATTTCTTCATCATTTTGTTAACCTTCATCCACTGGCTCTTGTTGGGGGGATGCAGAGGTGAGGTGAGGTCTGAGAAAGGGTTGCATCCAAATTCTCATGTTGCACCTGCTTCCTTATATACTTCCTTGTCTTTCAAAGTGTGCAGGAGACAATATAAGACCTCTTTCTGATCTTTTGAATGTTACTTTTGTAAATTTGGCTCCATGGTCTGCGATGGAAGGACAGCAAAGTTGTTCTAAAACAGGACTGGACCCAAACTTTTTACAACCCTAAAATGTAAATGGAAAATGGCCAAAAAGATTAGTGACATTAATGTATTTATAGCAGTCGCAAAATCTGGTGCAAATATTAATTTTTTTAAACTAATGGGTTGTGTACAAAGTGCCGATCTGACAAACAATAAAAAAAATACTTATAATTAAAATTAGACTAAACTAGAGGTCTATACATAATTTTTATTATTTTGTTTGACTCTATATTCCGTATCCTCTTTTGGAAACTATTGTCTATTATCTATTAAGTTTAATGTAGAATAAAATGAAAGAGATTGAATCAGTTATATGTATATTTTTATATATACATTTTGACTATAATAACAATGAATATCCAAAAACATGATATTTTCCTCATTCCAGGTATTTCAGGAGAGTGTCCAAATGATACAGGAGTTGGGTTTTTAAAGCTGGGGTACCTAAATGTTGTTCATAATTAATACATTGTCTTTTTCCCAACAGAAAACGTCATCTGAAAGTAACCAGACTACAACAGGCTGTGAGGGTGGTTCTCTCGTTTCGCTTTTCTGTCTGAAAAAAGGCCAATAATGCATTTATGTGAAAACAAGTGATAGAAGCTGTTTTTAGAGGAACTGAATTCTTCATAGTATTTTGCAGCATTAAAGTCAGTAACAACCAATATACTAAACATGAACACATCCTTCCTCTCATGTTTTTAAGGAGCAATAATTTACATAAGACGACACACAAAACGCAGCTCATAATAATGATAATGATACAAATAATAATGATAATAATACATTTATTTTTAAAGCACCTTACATTTCCACAAAACATCGTGCTACAGATTAGAATTCTATAGAAACAATGGAAAATAAGAATATATTATGATATATAAGTCAAAAATTGAGGGTTTAAAGCTCATAAAAGTCCTGGGAAAGCTTTCTCGTATTCTGGAGTTGCTTGGATTGTTACTCTCACTTTTACCTCCACTGATGGAGCTGATGTTGAAAATACAACATTTTACTTTGAAAAACTAACCCCCCTTTTTTTTCTGCAGTATGACATTGACATTTCCCCATTAATGGATGAATACAGTTTATCTTGTGTCATTTATTTTCTTAAATAGGAATATTTTGGGTATTGCATCAGTCTGAGAACAGCAGCAGGATAACAGCAGGTCGCAGTAGAATGACCAGGGTTGGATCTGGGTTGTCACTTGTTGATGCTGTTCCATGCACACCTCCCCCCCCCCCCCTGTCCCCGCTGCGGTGATCAGAGCGCGTGCACCCTGCCGCGAGAGTCTGCAGTGGGACACAGGAGGAGGCCAAAGGGAACGCAGCGCCCCCTCTCGGTTGGAACAGGATCAAACAGCACATGAGCGCACACCAGCTCTGAAAGTCTGTGTGAGGGACTTACGTAACATCCACGGGAAAAACGACCTCGTCCTGACCTCTGCAGACGCGCGTTACTGGATGGACGCTGACTTTGGTCCTGGTTTAGACCTGGTTCAAGTGTGGTCCGTGCTTTTAGATAAGTCTTGGTTTATTTACTTGACTCAAAAGCAGTGTTCAAAGCAACTTAAAGGCAAGGCAAGTGTGTTTGGTATGGTGCAGTTCATACACAAGGCCACTCCAAGTGCTAAAAACAAGAAAAAAAATATAAAAATATATAAGAATAAAAGAATAAGAAATTACAACAAATAATCAAAGCACATTAAATAGAGTGAAGATACAATCCCCCAGTTGTCTGCACAGTTGAATATTGAGTCAGAATAAAAGCCTGTCTCCAGATGTGCAGGTGACTGGTCCCTGTGCTCAGAGTCAGAGTTGGTTCAAATTGGTGCTGTAGGTCTCCCATCACAGTATCAATCAGACCCTGTCCTGCTTAGCCTCTTCTAACAGGATTAGGCTTTTTTATTTTTCAAACCAACATGAACCAATGTGTTTTTAGAACACAATTGTTTTTCGATTTATTTGGTTAACCTCAACAAATTAGTTCACGTAGAAGCATGGCTGACTGCTTTTAACCTGTTTTTTATGTTGTGTCTCATCTGAAAAGTACTGGAACTTTTATTCTTGAATAAAATGAAACATCTAAACGACAGTAAAGTGCACCTGAACTGTGGGTCTGCTCCACTGTGACCGCTCTTGTGGCTGACGGCTGTGACCCGCGGCTTATTTTTGGGTCATGCAGAGTTGAGAACGTGCTGCAGGAGAAAAGAGGAGAGAATGTATTAAATAAATATATAAAAGTAAAAAAACAGCAGAGCGTGGACAGAGACACAGAGAGGAATGACATCTCGCTGCTGATGAAGCAACTGCTGCCGACCCAAAGGACTCCCAATGTCAGGCCCTGGAACATGCAGACCTTCTATTACAGGCATCTCCAAACTGAGGCCCGCGAGCCAACTGTGGCCCTCCGTGTCATTTTCAGTGGCCCTCCGCTTTACTCACACAAAATTAGTCATAAAAAATCATAAACATACATAAAATGATAAAATATATGTAATTATTGCTCAAATCACGCGTTTTCTATCCTAAACTGAGAGAATTCTGACTGCCGTTACCCAAGGCGTACTTATCCCATTGGAATATCTCGTTTTAAGGCAGTCTGAATGTTCTCAAATGCAGACACATTTCGCCAAAACAAATGTTTACATCACTTTTTGTGTCTTCCAGCTACTTTCATCTCTCCCAATACAAATATGTGATTCAAATACATGTAATTCTTGTAAAGCCCTAAATCACAACAGCAGTTATCTCAGAGGACTTTACAAAAATGTTGATTTCTCCAAGATCAGAGAATCACGCAGTTCAAACACAAGAAATGCAATGATCGAAAACACATAGAGCCATTGGACCGTAAGGAGCAGAGAGCAATGTCCATAAATGTCGGTGACTGTCGAGGGTCCTGGATCATCACCACTGTCCTCAGACCAGGCATGTCCAAACCAAGGCCCACGAGCCAAATGAGGCCCATTGTTTAATTGTATTTGTCCCTCTGCCTTGCCAGTACAAACTATCCATTGTGGCACTTACAGAGTCATCCAGCCAACTCCCCCTGCCTCGAGTTCAGGTATTCACTTTATTTGTATATATTGTCATTTGTTTTCAATTGTGTCCCAAAACGGCACAGTGTAAAAGCAGTTTTAGAATGATGTCGGCCCCTAGACAAATTGGGTAAACTAAAGTGGCCCTCCTACTACAAAGTTTGGACACCCCTGCCTTAGACCCTCATGCATTGGCAAGGATGAACTGTAAAAACCCAGTGGACCGTTCGTCTGAGGGCTGTAGATCCAGGACTCAGGCTGTAGAACAAGGACCGAGGCCCGCGATGCTATACCTTATTGTAAAGCTCAGACCCTCTTCAATTCCGTCATTGACTTTGTTTGACTATTCTATCATTAATTTGTTAATCATTAATCATTAAATGTGAACCGTTTTACCTCTGTTAGAGTTCAAAACAGCCTGAATCCAGTCAAAACAGTTTTACGATACAATCTACAATCCGAACTAAAGTAGAGTGACCAAAAATCATAAAACTGTATAAAACTGATGTATTATTATTGTTTTTACTTTTTTTCTTCTACCTCTACTGCTACAGCCCATGTCCAACCACAAAGTAATATCATATAACTTACATACATCTAAAAACATGTTTTCTGAAGCAGAAAGCCCTAAATAGACGCGTTCATTGAGGCGCATTTATGTGAGAGCGGCGCAGCGCCCTCTGGTGTCTGACCGGCGCTATTGCACATGCGCGCTGGAGTCTTTGGGAACGCAGTGTCCACAGACGGGCCGCGCATACTGATGGGCCAGTGGTGCAGTGAGACAGGCCTGGAGCTACAGCCAGCTCAATACACTGCTGCCCTTCACAAAGTACCAGCCAGCAGCCACGAACCAGGAGAGACTGGACCAAACTCTGGGTTCTGTGCGTGTGTACAGGGTCCCCTGTGACACTCCACATGGTTATACCGGATTTATTCAATGGTTTTAAGGTCCCTGCTTCATGCAACGTTGTGAATTTCACCTTATAATGGGCCTTGATTACAGCTGGATGCATTGGGGATGATCTGAGTGCTTTATTTCATGCCAATATGCAAAATTAGAATGATAAATATGATATCCTTATTTTCTGGGATTTCTATTTTCTGTCAATTATGCAGCAGTTGCTCTCTGTGAAGTTTCAAACATATTACAGAAAAAGGCCCTTGACTGAAGCTATATAATTAATAATAATAATAAACATGGGGAGACAGGCTTCTTCTCTGACACTGTTCAAATCCAGGTTGAAAATAGGATCATACAACTGGAGGATTGCACCTTTACTCTTTTTAACATACTGTGACTATTCATGATTTTTGTGTGTGATTTTAATGTGTATTTTCTTGTCTTGTTACACACTTTGAGTTGCATTATGTATGAACTGTGCTATACAATTAAACTGCCCAGACCCAAGAGGCAGTGAAATAGTCCCAGTTTCTTACTATAGCTACTACTCATTATAGTAACAAACTGGGATATACCTGTGACTAACAACAGCCACTGGAGCAGCTGTGACGGGACAGGAGCTGGGAGGAGGACAGGGTGCATGCTGGGACACGGAGTCTGCAGCCAACTCTGTGATGGATGAGCGACAGTGGAGCTAGCAGCACAGACTGGACGTCCCGCCGAGGGACAGGGGGAACACAGAGCCTCATTAGAACTGTTGTCACTATAGCAACAATCAGCCATTTGTACAAATATGACACACTTTGTTTAAGCTCCCATGATGCACCTCTTTAGTGCGTACATGACACATTTAATTAAAGCACAGATACAATAGCTGTGTTTAAATTTTGGATACAGCTTCCATCTGTGTGAGAGACAAACGCCCACAACATTTGTAAAGTGTTTTGTGACTCTAGTCTGCGCTATATAAATAAATAGTTCTTATTTAAACGCTTTCCATAGTTCATAATTTGCAGTATTTTACTTCCTGGTTGCGCATGGACAGCAATAATAATACTGATAATAAATTGGTTTTATACAGCACTTATTTGGACACTCAAAGACGCTTCGCTTGTCATTATTCATTTTACTCCATACACGGAAGTGATAAACTACTACTGCTGCCCCGGGGCACACTGACAGAAGCGAGGCAACCAGTATGTGCCATCGGCTCCTTTGACCACCACCAAAATTCACACTTATCAGACCCATTCTCTGCATTGGGGGTGAAGTGTCTTGCCTAAGGACGTAACAACAGTTTGAAACTTTACACCCGCAGTAGCCTCACTGTGGCACCTGGTGTTACCAGATGTCTCCCATCACATCACTAACCAGGCCCTGCCCTGCTTAGCTTAAGAAGTTTGATGAGATCTGGCTTTCACTTGAAGGCAGTGATAGGCAGTGTGTTATTATGTTTTATGACATCTGCCAAGTCCTGAAACTATTACATTAAAATGGGAGAAGGGAGTAGAAAGTACAGATAATTGGGCTTAAAAGTTAAAGTAATAGTTATAACAGTAAGTAGTTGAGTACTTGCCAGGGGAAAGTACTGAAATGTAAGTGCTACGTGGAAGGTGACAGGGCTCTGCAGTGGTGCTGGCAGCGGTGCGTTCAGGGACAGTGGGAGCAGATGTACAGGACCAAGACACCATCACCTCCTCAGGACCTGAGCGAGATCTGGGCCAAACAACAGGACCGTGGCGGAACAGCGCACCCTATCTGTCATATTGTTAATAACCAGTATCTAACTTTCAAACCAGTAATAAGATTAGAGTTCCTTTATTCGTCCCAAAGTGGGGAAATGTCGATGTTGCAGCGCACAGACAGGACAGTAGTAAGAGCACACAGGGAGCACACAAAATATAAAAAATAAGTAGTAGCTATGTTTCTTATATAGCTGTAAATGCTTCAATACCAGTCTTCAAAAAAAAGTTCTCATTGAAAGACCTACAGAACCTCTCCTTAAACAGCGATGATGAAACTATAATAAATATGTTCCTTGAGTCTCTCACTTTAGATCAACTTTTTCAAGATGGAAAAGGCAAAACAGAGAGGTCCACCCTCACTCAGCCAATCTGCTCCACCCAAAGTGTCAAATAGTGACTGACGGGCATAAGTATTGAAAAGAAAACATGCGTGGAAAAAAGATTAAGAGAAAGATTTTTTGGCCAAACAAGTTACAAGTTTTGTCTTGTTTATCCTAAATTTCAAAACAATGTATTTAACTATAACAAATATTGTATGTTAAAAAATCAATACATTTTGTTTATGATTCATATTGTGAGATTTCAAAACACTTTGAAGCAACTTTTGTTAAAGTTAAACTCATCATTCTATCAATGTGCAGAAGCCAGTACTTTTCCCTTGTTTTGTCTATCTGAAGGCCAAGCTACATGGCACCGTGGCAGCTGCTGATTGGAGGTTTCCATGCCTCCGCTCTGTATAATACACTTGCATTCTGTTGTATCTGTTGTTCGTGCTGTCTCTACCATCGACAATAAAACATGTCTTCTGTTTGAATTTATGACGCGATCCCAGACTATGTCATCTTCTTCAATATTAATATTATTATCATTGTTATACAGATAATAGTTATAACCATACTAACCCCAACCTCAAATTGTATGTGGATTAATTTTATGGTTATTTATGTATAGAGAAAATGGTTTATTATTTTACTAATATTCATTGTTACATTCAATTATTATTCTTATTTTAATGGCTTTAATTTAAAGGGATCTGTGCAGCACTGGAATTGTTTTTTATATGATGTGCAATGTAAATAAAGTAGCCTGGATGGATGTTCTCAGCCTATAATCTACTAGTCTGATTTAACCTGGAATTAGACCGAGAAAGACTTTAAAAATACTCAGAATAACACAGTATATAACATTACACTGCATCCTTTAGATTTCTTCAGTGATTGACAATATTTCCTATCTGTACATTTGAAGCAGTGATGCTGGGGTTAAACCTGGACAAGCACCTAAAAATGCATGAAAATATAAATAGCTTCTCAAAATGTGGTGCACAGACTTCTCATTTGCAGTTCAAATATGGTCGTCTTTTTGATGGTTTTGCTACAACTATAGTAAAAAAAGTCAATTTAGATTATGATTTGACCTGTTTATTTCACTCAAACTTCAAAGATATTTAAACTAATATTCAGAATAACACAATATATAACATAGATCTGCTACATTTCTTTTGGGATTGAAACGTTTGCAATCTGCAGTGATGCTGGGGTTAAGCCTGGACTTGCACCTGAACTAAAAGTGAGAAAATCCACCGGTCCTGCCCCCTGCTGAGCCCACTGTGCTTCTCCTGCTGCCACTTTACATAACAGCTCCGTGGAGAATATTCTGAGCGAGTGTGAAACTGCTTTGCTCTGGAAGAATTCTGGAAACGCAGCTTTGTGGAGAGTGGCTGTCCTTCACTGCGTCCCTGGACTGGAGGTTAATAAGGTCTGTGTCAATGGGGCCTTGGGCATTACTTATAGAAAATCCACTTTTCTGCCAAATCCGCTGAATTTTGAGATATTGCTTTGTTGAGTTGTTCACAAAAGGGACGACTGATGATTCAGGAAGCATGATAAATATTATAGTATGGCTTAAAGCAGTGTCTCCCAAAGTGGGGTCTGCGGCCCCCTGGTGGGCCGCGAGGGTACTGCAGGGGGGCCGCGGGAGGTCATAAAAAAAAAATATATATATAATTATTTAATGTTAAATTTATAATGTTTTGTTTGTAATATTAAAATTTGTGTTCATTATTTGACTTGAATAATCCACTGTAATAATTTTTGTATTACAATGTTTGTAGCAGAGGCTATTTCCCCAAAATAAAATAACCAGAAGAGCCTATTCTTAATGTTGTCTTCTTGGTTATTATTTTGGGGGGCCACGCAGACCCTTCAGATTTTTAAGGGGGCCTCGGTGTTACTGAGTTTGGGAATGGCTGGCTTAAAGAATCAAGGACATGGGTCAGTCAGTTTAGCTTGTGCTTCAGAGCTACAAGTGACTCAATTATACATTTGAATGGAAATAAGACTCTCCCTCTTAAGACCACTAGTGGGCAGCATACTACATTCCATAGACTTGCATACTGAATTTACAGCTAAAAGTTGTCCTGGCCCCATGCAATAATATTGTAGCATTATAAACCCTCATCGAAAATATCATTAGTATGTACCATGGATGTATTAGGTATGTACCTGAACAAGCAGAGATTTTACTGGTGCCTTTGGAAATGATCCAAATAAGCTTTTTAAGTCTATGCACCACACTTCATAATAACTTTGCAGGTCTAGTCTCAGCTCCAAGCGCCCTGAGATTTAAGTCAATGAAAATGTGCAGGGACACTAGAGCACCAGGGCACATTTGGCCTGCAACCCTTTAATACATTTCCACCAACATTATGCCACCCAAAATGGGTTTAAGAAGGTATATATATCGAACCCAGCAACATCTCTTTTTAAATATTCTTAATGTCTGACAATTTGCTTGGTTTACTTAAGAACATTGCACTAAAGAGTTTATACCAGTTAGTGCAACAATGTCAAATTTTATAGGAGAATTAGAGGCCTTATCAATGTGTGCCAAAACTAGAAGACGAGACAAAATGTGTTCCACTTTTTTTATTAAACAATCTGCTGATTTTCCAGATGGCAACAGATTTGAAGCAGAGACAACAGGACTTTATGCAGTCTCCTCCTTGGAAATGCGGTCCTTCTTGAGTGGTCCCTGTAGAGAACAAAGCATTTTGTTTAGAACAAACTCACAGGACTGTCAAAGGCTAGGCTAAAGATTATAAAAAGAGATCAGCTCTGAGTTAATAGTTTTCATAAAGACTTGTTCCCAGAGAGTGAACAGGGAGCAGCACATCATACACTGCTCCCCTGCCTCACTGGAGTTTGTTCTGGCACTGGAATGGAACCCACATCCACACTGAATCTGAACCAGGTTACGAACAGTGCCACTTCCTCTACACACTATTCTTTCAGTGAATGAGCAGTGATTTCAAACCCACCATAAACGCCTTTTTCTCCTCCACGGTCTGGAAGCGTCCATGACCAAATTTGGAAGTTGTGTCGATGAATTTGAGGTCGATCTTCTCCAGGGCACGACGGCTGGTCTGCACGAGCAGAGACTGGAAAGGACAAGATTTATTTTAGACATAAATTACCTACTTTTTACATGTATGATGCAAGTGACCGCATGGGTTTTAGATCAAGCCAAGTGAAAAACTGGCCATTTCGGACTAGTTAACTGGTGGTGAGATTAACTTTTTCAAAATTTAAATGTTTGAAATATATGTAGTTTAGAGCCACTGCTTTGTTATAACCACCAAGCTCATCTTTGTTAAGCCAATTGAAACAGATCCCAAAAGTACAGCATCTTGTCCTGGCTTCATAAACTTAAGAAAATTAAATTATTATATTATAATATTCAGTAAATGCTTTGTCTTTGGTTTCTTATGCTAAGTGCTGAAGAGCCAGATTCCCATTTACCTTCCTATTGCTAAACCAATTTAACAAAATCATTCTTGCAGCCTTCTCATTTGAATGAATCTTCAAATAACCTGGAGAAAAAGCTACAAAAACAAGTCATCCATCTACCTTTCTCAGCGTCAGCACCCTCTTCTTGGTCCCAACGACGCAGCC